GCGGCCCCTGACCCCCCACCCCTGGGAGAGGCACTGCCAGAGCGGGGGGGGGGCTCCGCTTCTCACCGCGGAGCTGGAGCATCCTGGGGCAGGGCGCCAGGCCTTTATCCCCGTCTCTCCCCTTTTCTCCTTGCTCAGCCCTGGCTCCAGCACAAGCTCAGCTTTGTCCCGCTCCCCCACGAGCGCTGCCAGCCCTCTCCTGTCCCCCAGGACACGAGGGAGATGCCCACGTTCCCCTGCTTCAGCCAGCCCCGTGCGCTAGCTGGGACCATGCTCTTCCTCGGTGTTAATTAAATCATTGCTCCCCCTCCCCTCGCTGCCAGGGCCAGCCTCATCCGACAGTCACGCTCTCCAAACTAATTGCTCTCTGTTATTCCATGTTTTCCATTGGAGGCTCATGCTCCCTGCTGGCTCCTGGCACAGCCCGCACCTCCCACGTTGGCTCCCTGGCATGGCACGGCATGGCACAGCACGGCACGGCACGGCACGGCACGGCACAGCACGGGCAGGGTCCTCTCCGTGCGCCGGCTTAGGGCTGGGGACCCTCCGCCGACCAAGGAGGGGGACCCCAGCCTCCGTGCTGCGGCCGTGGGTCGGGGACCCCTCCGTGGGGAGGCAGGAGCTGGGGACGTTCCCTTCCACACACGTGTTGGCCAGGGCCAAAGCCCACCGTGGGTTTTCGGGGGGAGGGGGGGTTGGGGACACCCCCATGTGAGAGCCATGGGCTGGGGACCCCCCTAAGTGTGCTGGCGAGGGACTTGGGGCCCTGCTGTGTGGGGAGCAGAGGATCCCCCTGTTTGTTAACATCTAGAGCCCTCCTACATCTTGGCTATGGGATGGGGACCCCCTGGCGATCCCACGCACATTGACCAGGGGTTCACCAGCGGTCCAGAGCCCCCCACCCCAAGTGGTGGCTACGGACTGGGGACCTGCTTGTGGGGCGATGGCTTGGGACCCCCATGTGCTGGCTGTGGGCTGGGTCCCCCAACATAGGGGCCTGTCAAAGGCAGGGACACCTCGGCACATCCTCCAGGACCAGATGTCCCTCTGCCATCAGTGTTACGATAACAGCGAGGGCAGCTGGCTCTAGGCAGCCTCCCCCTCCCCTCCATTCACCCACTGGCACCTCGCCAACAGGGTGACCTGGGGATCGTCCTGCGAACCAGGGATTCCCACCCATGCTGCGGCGCAGCTAGCAGGGTGTGAAGCTTTAAAGGGGGTCTCCCAGACCCTACGTTTGGCTGGGGTGCCCATGGCTGTCTTTGTCCGGCACCTGGGAAGAAGAGGCCTTGGTTTGGGTGGGAGCTTGGGTTGTTATGGGAGTGAAATTCTACCTAAGTGCAGGAGTTCGTAACCAAGTAGCTGTAACCAAATCTATTTCTAATGCACGGAAAATTACAGTGGAAAGTGGGGCTTGATTTTACAGCTGTTTAAATGCTGCCTAAGTGGCTTATGGCTGTGGTATCACCACTCAGAAATGTAAAATTTTGTTAATGTTTCACTTGCCCCCTTGCTCCTTCAGGTATAACACGTCATCATGAAAAATTGTGTAGTAGCAGTGGTGAGTCATAGCCACTCTGATTTTATGTGCTGTGATGAATCAGGGTATTTCAGGACAGAAGAGTGCCTGATGCTGCTGTGATCAGGTCTTGAGTTCCTCCTGATTTTGGTTATAGTCAAGGGGGAAAGAGCAACTTGCAAAATTCACCTGAGGTTGTTTCTTCAAGAACTGCATGTTTCAGTGTAGCCGGAGGATGTTGTTTGCAGATCACCAAAACCTTTTCATAAATGGGGAGAGAACAATGTAAAGTTCAATGTAAAGTTTGGAAGCATATTTTAACTTCGGAACAGTTTCTTCTTCCTTCGGTGGTGTTCACATCACCATGACCCACCCTGGGTGGCTCGGGCCAGCCTGATAAGCTCCGCGGTGGGCACAGGCTGAGCTCAGGTAAACACTTTGCTCCTCTCCAACGGGGGAAAGGAGAGGAACAAACTGACATGCAGAATGAAAATGTCCTGGGCCAACGTGTTCAGACACAGACACTTCAAGTCAGATTCTTACATTAATGTTTCAGGGACTCGAGGCCTTTCTTGCCCTGGGTGCTGAGCGCTCTCACCATCCAATGTGCTCAGCTGCAGATAGGACTGCTCAGCACCACTGAAAAGAGGCTAAATAGAGAGTTTTATGCTGATGTTAAGAGAGCCAGCGTGCAAACCTCCGCCACACCTTCTGAGGGTGGAAAATGAACTGAAGAAATGAAAGGGAAGGTGTCACTCCAGTCTTGTGCTAGGTAAAAGGCAGCAAGTTTCGCTGGCGTTTGCTCCAAATGGCGTGGCTTTGCGCAGGGTTTGGTGAGCTGGGGCTGCTCCTTCTCTCCGTGATCCTTCCCTCCCCTGTAGCTGATAGAGCAGCAGGCGGTTGGGTGCACGTGGCGGAGCCTGTGCTGCCTGTGGGATGGCACTGCAGCAGTAGCTATGAAGAAATAGAAGTAATTAGCAGCGAACGACATGCGTCCTGGCTGGTGGTGCGACTGCTGTCGCCAGCCTGGCTGTGAGATGGCCAGAGGGTTATCTCACGTGGAGGCAGGAGGGGAAATGATAAGGCTCAGATGGTGCCATTCGTGGTCCTCAACAAGCAGCGCAAGTGTGAGTCCCTTTGAAGTTTACTTGTGACCCTGCTGAGATCAATACCCCGGGCTGGCAAAGGGGGGGGGGCAGAGAATCAGGCAGAAACCTGGGGAAAAGGACTTTGAAAAGAATAGGGGGAACTTTAAAAAGGCTTTGGGGAGAAATGTTACCTCCCAGGCCCAGGAGCCAGGTACAGGACTAGCCCCTAGAGAGCCCAACACGCATAGACAGGTTGTGATTGAAACCCTCTTCTTGTGTTTTGCTGCTGCTGTTTGAAATCAAATTTATTTGCTTTCAGAAGAGCTGTTTACTGTTTTCGTGATTGCATGTGGACCCCAATCTTGCTGGGAAGCAGAACGGGCACCCCAGGACCTGGTGTGATGAGCGGGGGTGCCCTGAGGTCTCCCCCGTTGCCAGCATGACAGACCTGGCTCTGCTTCAGCCTCCCTGCTCTCGGATTAGCCTGTGAGCTGCTGAGGGGGACGTGGGTCGGTGCAAACTTGCAGGCCGAGTCCTGCGCTGGCACTGGATGCCAGCACGTTTGCTCCTTCCCTTTCTGTGATGGGGGCAAGGACCTTGCCAGCTGCCCGGCGAGATTCGGTGGGGCTCATCTGCCGGAGCCCCCAGACAGATGGGGAGGGTCAAAGGTACCACTAGCCTTGCACCAAGCTGCCCTCAGCAATTCGGATATTAACAGTATTGCAACACCAGTTAGAAGAATTTGAAGGGTCAAATTCCTTCGGAGTGGAACATCGTTGAACTCGGTCAGTTTAGACCTCCAGTGAGTTTGGAGCAGCGTTTTGGAAGGCTGATACCTTAACGCAGACCTGTTTAAAGGAGTTAATGTGTGACCAGCTAGAAACCATCTGGGGCAGACAGATGGCCTGCCCTGTCCGAGCTGGTTTCGGCAGCTGGGACCCTGTGCAGTTCTCAGCGATGCTGATGTGAATCCAGAAGAAAGCAGCTGAGGGGAGAAGGATTGCGGTTGCTTGCATCAGCTGTAGAGCAGAATTAGGCCTTTTCCCTGCAGATTTCCAGCAGGATGACTACCCAGGGCTTTCTCTAGATGTGTGTGTCCGTATTCTGAAATGCAGCCAACATTCCGTTACTAAAATAAATCCCACAAATGTACCGTGTCTGGAACCATTGCGATTAAGAGCTACCAAATAAGAAAAATGTCAGAACACAATGGGTTTATGTCAAATGCTCAACTGTTTGAAGGGTGTCCCTTTCTTTTAAGAGATCTTGCTGCTGGCTGATGGCCAGATGCCGTGGAAAATCCAACCCTCTCCGTGCAATCTGGAGTTCAGAATACAGCTAAATTAAAAACTAAAGAGCCTTTTGCAATCACATCAGTTTTTATTTAAGCACCACACCATAAGATCAGATGATCAGAGCCGTCAGTGGATATATCACATGGATCTGGGGCTTGTCAACAGGGAGAACAAAACAGAATAGCTGTCTTCATCCTCGCGCGATAAGCTGACTGCAAAGTTACTATATTCTGGAGTAGTAAATGCATTAGCAAAACATGCTAATAATTTTAGACTATAGTGACCCTTACTGCAGGGTAGCCTCTCTACTGGGTACATAGGGATGGTTTTTCTGTTTAACCCCACGTAACTGTTCTCAGGTCCATCCTGCAGATTGACGAGGCTTCCTTGG